GACTGGGCTGCCCGCCCGCCCGTGGGCAGAGCTCCTACCCCGGGGACGGGGCTGCCCGCCCGCCCGTGGGCAGAGCTCCTACCCCGGGGGACCGGGATGCCCGCCCGCCCGTGGGCAGAGCTCCTACCCCGGGGGACCGGGCTGCCCGCCCGCCCGTGGGCAGAGCTCCTACCCCGGGGGACCACACTTCCAGCCAGTGTGTGGCCTGTACCCTCATTGCCCCTCACACCGTGGCCAGAGCCTGCTCTTGCTCCCCACGATTCACCATCCCATGCAACCCCCCAACTCTGTTCTGCTGCAGCACGGGGAGCCGGGAGCCCTGGACCTGGAGAAGCTGGTCAGCACCGTGGCTGCGCAGAAGCTCATCCTGGAAGCTGCGACAGGTATGGTCCGCAGGGTGAAGTGGCCAGGCTGGAGCACCCCCGTGGTCCCGCCGCCTGCCCAGGCCAGCACTAAGTCTGTGTCCAGCCCAGGGGCCCGTGGGCCCCACACAGCACTGTGTGGGCCCGGCCAGTCAGGTATCTTCCTCCTCCTCAGTCGGCCCCAGACTCTGCACCTGTAAGGTGCCATGTGCCTCAGCTGTTGGCCACCATGAAATCCCACAGCAGTGAGTTCCACAGTTATCGTGGTGCTGAGTCCTTCCCTGGTGGGCCCGGACTCCTGTCATGGCAGGTGGTCTGCCCCGCCCCATCCCACGGCAGGAGGCTGGAGCCTGACTCGCTGCGGTGCTTGTGTTGCAGAAGTGAAAGCGACAGGCGCTGGTGACACTGTTGTGGCCGCTTCCCCCCTTCGGTGCAAGGTGAGTCCTGGGCACCAAGAGGGGCCCAGGCAGGGGGGCTGAGGGGGTGCCCCAGCGAAGGGGGGCAGCACTAGGGTAGGCCTGGGCTGTCGCTGGGGCTGGGCTGAACTGGGAGTCCCCGGGAGTGCAGCTCGCTGGCTCACTTGGGGGCGGGGGGGAGGGCGGTGAGCCCTGTGGCCAGAGCAGGGTGCAGCTCTGGGCACGTTGGGGGAGCTCTGCAGCACGGAGCAGGGTCGGGGCACAGTGGGTACAGCGGGTCTGAGCCAGGCCAGCTTTGGGGCATCTCTGTGCCCTGAAGGGGAGGCAGGTCTCCCGGCTGGGCTGGGGCTGCCGGCTCATCTTCCTGCTCCTCACATGCTGTCTCCCCCACTCCCAGGAGGCCGCCCCCACAGGCACAGAGGTGGAAGCAGACATGCTGTCAGAGGTGCCCCCCTCCTTCACTAGGTCCAGGCCAGCAGCCCTGAGGAGCATGAACCGGTGCACGTATGACCTGGAAGGTGGGCAGCCCTGGCATCTGGCATGCTCTTAAACCAGCCCCATGTGTGGGGGACAGGGGCACAGGAGGCATATCTAGGGTGCTGGGGGCAGAGGGCGTCTGTGGTATATTCAGTGTCAGAAGGAAACATGGGGGGTGGGGAAGCGCAGGGGCAAACGGGAACTGGGAGGGGGCGTCTGAGTGCGGGATGGGGGCTCTGGGGTGGGGGAGGGGGCGTCTGAGTGCGGGATGGGGGCTCTGGGGTGGGGGAGGGGGCGTCTGAGTGCGGGATGGGGGCTCTGGGGTGGGGGAGGGGAGTCTGAGCACAGGATGGGGGTTCGGGGGGGGAGGAGTCTGGGGGTGTTCTGCGGAAGTCTAGCTCTGCCCAATGACTCCACTCTCCCCTCGTTCCCCCAGGGCTGGTGGAGCTGCTGAACCGGGCCCAGAGCTGCAGGGCCAACGACCAGCGTGGGCTGCTCTCTAAAGAGGTCCTGGTCCTGCCTGACTTCCTGCAGCTGCCAGGGCAGGATGCTGGCCCCAGAGAGAGCTCTGAGCGGCAGCATGGCCCCTGCGATACCAGCCTCACCCCAAAGGGGGCCGGTGCCCCTTGCCCCCTGGATCCCGCACTGGCGCAGCCACCTGTCCACTCTGAACTGCACTGAGGCCCATGCTGCACTTTCTTCAGAGCCAGCGTTGAGGAGTGCCCTGGCCAAATCCTGCCTCCTTAAACTGCCCCGGCGGTTTCAGGAAACTACAGTATTCTCCACTTCCTGTCCTAAACTGTTGTATAGTGTTGCTGTGAGTTGTTAAACAGCTGCCTCATTCCACCCTAGAGGTGGCTGCATCTCAGTAGCAAGTGAAGTGAGCCTGTATATAGTTTGTATGTCAGTTATTTGTAAAGCACTTTGGGATGTAAAATATGCCTGATTAACAACCTGCGTGGCCCAGCGCCTCTGCTTCTGTCACCAGTCCTCGCCATGGGGACAACGGGGGGATGGGAGCCTGCACCCCCAGACCAGCACTGCCTATGTCTGTGCACAGGGGGCCGTGGAGAGTTGGCAGCTGCCTGCGGGAGGAGACTCCCTGGGGTAACCTGCTAGTGGGGAGGGGGATGGTGGCTGGTGGCGCATCAGGACGCGGAGGATGGGGAGGGTTAGGGCAGGAGCAGCATCCCTGGGGTGGCCCTTAGATGCGCCTCACTGGGGTCTCTGCCAGACAGCTGCCCCCGTTTAGCTCCAGAAGTGCGGGTAAGCAAACCCCAAACCCTCAGCTGCTCCAGGGCTGCAGCAGGGCCTGGCTGCTCCCAGCAATTGAGAGCCCGTGCGCTAGCCCCAGGCTCCAGGAGTCCCCAGTGCCCGGTCTGGCTGGACGGGCGGCATCTCCTGGGAGCTGGACCCCGTGCCCAATGGGGGGCTGGGGGCAGATATGGGGCTGCGAGGGGAGCCCAGAGTCCCCCAGGCCACGCCAGCTTGCTGGCTGTGGTGCTGCTTTGCATGCTAAGGACGGCTGAGGAGGTGGCTGCTCCGCATTGGCTGCCCTCGTCTGCATGTGACAGCACCTCATCGGGCTGCGTGTGAATGGGGAGTGGGAGAGGGAACCAGCCGCCTGCAACCCGCTGCACAGCCCAGGGATTACGGCCGGTCCGGTAGGCAGGGGTG